CTGGATTTCATCCTGGATCCGGAGCCGGCATCAGCGTTACCCTGAACTGGATTTCACGCTGTTGTCGGCGCCCCCCCGCGGCAGCAGCAGGACCCGGACTCGGAGCAGGGGCAGGACCCGGAGCGGATCCCGGAGTGGAGTACGGAGTGGGGGGTGGGGACAAGAGTGAATCTAGGAGCAGATCCCAGAGCAGATCAGGGGGCAGAAGAATTTGATTCTTTTATTTTAGAATTCTGTGCTAACAATGACCTCCCACTGTTCGGTGCTACTGAACTACATATTTTACAAAATAGCAAGTTCTAACTCTGCTTGTTTACTACCGACCCCCCCAAAAAAGAAAACACTGTCACAGACTTAAGATGGATATCAAAATAGTAACATAGAAATTATTATGAAGTATGGCACCACAGGAAATCTAAGAAAGTCCAAGTCTAGTTCTTACCACTTCCTGATGCTCAGTATGGCAAAACATCATTTCTGTCAGACAAGATTAAAAAAGAGCATTTGTTCTCTTTCAGGCCAGTCAGAAATCTGCAAATCACTTTAATTCAGTACCTGAAAAGAATGATGTTTATACAGAGTCTTAACTTGAAATAAATTACATAATATTGTAAATTTCAAATCTAAAAAAAAATGACAGAGAAGCATGTGAGCAAGGAAGGCAAGCATAACAAATGCACAACATCAAAGACCTTTGCTATCCATTAGTACAGCTCCTGAGATRCACATGTGTGTGTAATTCTTCATGTAATGACTGAAAACTATCAAGTGCTTTACTTTMYTTACTTACCAGGAATCTCCAAGCTACTATTTTGTGAGTTGAAGTATCAAACGTTCTAAGATCTAAGCTACTCACCACATGTTCCCTTCAAACCGAGTTAAAATTCAACTGCGTTTAGGGCATGAGCCATCTGCTGCGATGGTGATCTGGGCCTGATTTTTGGACAAGTTCTTTCTGTGTCCTTGTGTACTGTACATCACATATAATCAAGACAGAAGCAGCTTTAGCTGTTTTTAAACTGCTTTGTTTGCCTAACTTCTGAACATTTCACTCGGCAACCAAGGATCTGGTCCTTGCTTCACCAGAAAGCATCTACATATACTTAAAATTGCATCTGTACAGAACATTTATAGAAAACCAGATTCTTGAAAAGTAGTAAAGCTAAATTATTACGTTAGTAGAAGAGAACTCTTCAGGTCAGCAGTGTTGAATGTAGTTTATCAGCACCAACTCCCGTTCCACTCTTCAGAGAGGTGATCTTAGTTCATTTTTCAAAGTTTGACAGGCAAATGATCTTCCAGTTTCATCTCTGTAGTGCACATAGTTGGAGGCTTCTTTGGGAACTCAAGATGTGCAGTAGACAAAGACTCAGCATTGATCTTTAAAGCTTTCACCTGTACCACTTCATCACAAGCCTTGCTGTTGCAGATGGGACTTACTTGTTGAGTTTTCAAGAGATCTCCGGTGCTGTGTGTCTTCTCTACATTGCTGGTACTCATTCTCAAGGCCTTTTTAGGAAGGTCTTCCTTCCCTGAGCTAGTTTTCTGAAGTTTACTGGGAAGCTTGTTTTCTTCTCCTGCAATATCAATGAAGCCAAGTGAGAAATGTTCTGTTGGGCTTTTTTTGTCATTGAATGGACTATTCAGAAGAGGTGACAGACAAAGTTTTTCTCCTTGTTCTTTAACGCTGTAAGGAGGAGTGGGGACTTCAAAGGTATCGTGAAACTGAGAGTAATCAACACGGAAAAAGCCATCTTCCAGGGACATTACTGGGAGGAACCTATGACCCCAAAGAACTTCATCCTCTGTATAGGATGTCCTAGCTTGACAGGTCATTCCTACAAAGAGAGAAATAGGAACACTGGCATTGTAACAYGAGCAGCTAGGCAAGCGTACAGGCCAAAAGATCTAATTTAAGATCAATTTTATAATCATATAATTCTAAATCTTACCTGTAGTCTCAACAATTCCTTCAAGTATGACAACTATTTCAAACTGCTCGCTTCCTAATGATCTTTTTGACAGGCAAAAAAAGGGGCTCCTTGAATCAATTTCATGACAGATGGTTAATGGGGAAACTAAAAACAGCTGGTCAGCTCCAGTTCCAAATCCAACATCCAGTTCACACTGATCTAGCGGCAGAAATTCACCCTCTGGCGTCTGTCGGGACTAGAGGAATAAAGACAGTTCAATGGTCACCACAGGAAAGAAAACAAAAAGAACCAACATGGTCAAAAGCAGAACAGCAGAAGCAATGCAGTCAGATCTGAACATGGCCATTTCAAGGCATTGTAGTGCTGAATATTACAGGCATTGTAATGCTAAATATTTCAAAGCTACTCTATATGATCAATTTTGACATTTCATACCATGCCACTACACCTCATCATAACCTGCAAACTTTATTAGTTACTAAACAGTTCTGTGTGCATATTAACGCTGACAAATTGATCAGTTGCTTCAAAGATTAGTTGAGCTAATCTTTGCTAAGGAAAGCTAAGGAAAACAACAACAACAACAACAACAACAAAATACTCCTTTGCTGTCTGGATTTTTCCATCTTCAATTTCTTGTCTCTGCATCTTTGCTTTATCTCATTACTTAATTGAAGAACTATATCAATTACTACATTTCCTAGTACATACAGGTAGATACATTTCCTAGTACATACATCATGCCTTAGCCTACTGTGCCTGGTCAAACATTTCATCCCCTTCAAGTCTTTACTCCTACTTTTGTAAATCCTGTTGTTCAAAAACATCCTTCTTGACTGGGACATATTGTTGTGCAATATGTGCAATATGTCCCAGCTATAACTGCACTGGGAAACTGCCCATTTCTAGCAAGGAGCTCCAACCAGCTTCTTCTCGTTCTTTGCTTCAAGATTGCTCTTGCCTGCTTGTAGAGCACTCGGTGTAAATCAGAACGTCTCAGGTTTCCAAGAAAGCTTCAGGTGTAACAAACACACTTCATCTTGTAACTCMATTCCCTAAACTCTTCACAATTCACTCCAAAAACGGCTCCAGACTTCCCAGAGATAACTATCCCGTGTTGGTAGTCAGCCTTTGTTCCAAAGAAGAGCTGACACTGTGAGGGCACCAACTGAATCCCTCCCTATCCTGGGGCACACATCACACTTTGAGTAAATGCCATCCACGCATAGACTAACATACTTTGTTTTCAAAGGGAAATCCTCTGGGCTCCTTTGGTCCCGCTGAAACACTCTGTTCACTGCTAAATATGGCTCCTATCTCAAGCACAAAAATGTGATAAGATACATTTCTTTGCATTGTTTCACTGTGACAGAGGTACAAAAAAAAAAATATCCAGCTATCTAATCAGGTGCAGAAGAAGTGGAGCAAGATGAGCTGTCAGCAGCACCAGGCAAGGCACAATTCAGAGCACRAACAGACAGAGATGGCTCGCTGAAGGTAATGCTGAGTTACCATCACCAGGGGACTACAGGATGGCCAAGGAAATCTCTCAACTGGCCTCATGTTTTCCGTGCCAGCCATCTCCATACCAGCATTGTGCAGAAATAGCCTTATTATGAGACAGTGCATCAGGCTGGGTGTTGGTCATCTTCTTTCAAAAACACTTTAAAGTGAATTACTAACATCATAAAAGCACAGCAGTTGCACTGCTCCTATTTCTCTTTGACTTGCACTCCATCTTGGAGGATGRCCAGAATTAAATATTTCAGGGAAAGCTTTCTGCTATTTTTTTAATAGTTAGAGATCAATACAAATCATGGACTACTGGACTTTCGGAATCTTACCAAAATTGTTCCATTATAGTTCAGGACAGTTATCTCCATATACATATCCTCCCCACCCTCTATTTTTTTTGTATCCTTTTTAACTACAGATTTTTCTTGACATATCATTTAAGTTAAGCCTCTGTAAAACAAACAAAAAACCAGCCTTTCATATTTCCTGCTGTCCMGTCACCTAGCTCATCAGACTTGTTTTTGCAGATTACTAAAATGGCCCGTTTCTCTAAGAGGACAATTATCATCCTCTTTTGGAGGCGAGAGGATACAAAGCAGTGATGACGCTCATGTGTGATATTCTGAAATCAAAATCACTGCTGGCATTCGGCTTCTGATGTTCCTCATCAAGAGCACTCCTGTGACAGGCACAGCTGTCTGCCCCTCCACATGCCACACGCATTATCTGCTATAGAGCCTATTCTGGACAGTATATCTGGGCCTGCTGAACTTCACTGTCCCCTAAGGGTTTATTAGTTATTTATTATTCCTTGGTTACGATTTTATTGGATTTCCAGTTCACCCTTGCAGTCCGAATTCTACTTGGACATTGCCAGTGCTTAATAAACGGACACTGCTGATAATTAAAGGGTTTTTCCACAAAAACTTACTGAGGGTCCCTCTGAAAYGCTGGAAGGCCCTTGGCAGCAATGAAGGGAGGAATTAAAATTGCCATGGAGCTACCCAAGGCAAAGAAGGGGTCACAGTTGCCACTGTCCTTGGTAAGCACTAGGAATGACTCAGTTTCACCACAAGACTGCTGTAATTGATGTCTTACTCCCAGCTCCCACCTGCTAAGGGGCACAGAGCAGCAGCCCTCCCTGCGGCAAGCGTGCGCTTCGGTCCTCACCTTGATGAGCTTGCAGCGGATCTGGGCAGACACCATGTGGCTGTTGCGAAGGTTGCCCACGCGGAACATGAGGCAGAGCTTGCCGTCCCGCTGAGACACCACCGCGGCGCGGCTGAACATGAGCGTCTCGGCGCGCTTCTTGGGCTGCGACATCTTGATGAACATGCAGCCGATGAGGAAGGCGTCAACAACGGAGCCAAGAAGCGACTGGAAGAGGAAGAGGACGATGCCCTCAGGGCAGCGTTCCGTTATGTAGCGGTGCCCGTAGCCGATGGTGGCCTCGGTCTCAATGAAGAAGAGGAAGGCAGAGGGAAAGTTGTACACGTTGGCCACGCACGGGCTGTAGGTCTCGTCGTGCTCCTGGTGCAGGTCGCCTCGCAGGTAGGCGATGCCCCACCACATGGAGGCCATGACCAGCCAGGCCACCGTGTAGGTCAGCAGGAAGATGAGCAGGTTCCAGCGCCACTTGAGGTCCACGAGCGTGGTGAAGAGGTCGGAGAGGTAGCGGCTGCTCTCGCCGCCCAGGTTGCCGTGCTGCACGTTGCAGCGCCCGTTCTTGTCCACGAAGCGCTGCCGCTGCCTGCGGGCTCCGCCRCGGGCCGGGCCCACTGCCTGGTACTCATCTCCAAACCTCCTCCGCACGGCGGCTGGGTGCGGAGTGCCCGACATGCTGCAAYGCTCCGCGAGCGGCGCTCCGGCTGGCGGAGATTAAATCATGAAGTGGGCAGCACTGAGTCATCCGCGGGGAGCCAGTGCTGCCGGCAGCGTCAGGGATTTTAAAAGGAACTCGGGAGATAGTTCCGCTCTTCAACGGGGAGATGTGAGCATGCAAATCCTCTGACCGTGTTTAAAATAAGTATTCCAAGCAGGCAAGGTGCAGTCTGTTGGCAGTGGATGGTAATCGCTTCTGTGGCTCATGCATTGCTCCTTATGGCTGGGCTAGCAGAGAGGGGCAGTCCTCTAGAACCTGCAGGGATTTCAGCGCAGCTCCCCTGGTTTTGATGGACAGAAAGAGCTGGGATCAAAACCCACAAATCCTAAATGCACATATATATAACTCTAMGTGAGGCTCAGTGACTTTTTTTGACCACGTTATTACATTTAGTGTTACTTCTCAAAATCATTGGTATTTGAAGTTAATTCACAGTTACATAAGAATATTTCTATTCAGATGAGGCATTTCAAAACCTGTTTTTCAGTAAATCATTACAGAATTATAGCCTGCATTCATTCAGTTATTGACATTTTAAAAATATGTTTGTAGTAACTGGTGACTCTGTTTTGCTTTAGTTCTAGAGTGGGAATTAMAGAAACTATTAGTCTGTCTGAGCTTGAATTTCAGTATTTTCACCATATAMTGAAGCACAACCCATTATTTTTCAGATATTCACACTTTTAGTCTCGACATCACTCCAATAATATGTTCCGAGAAGGCTCTATGCCTCACTGCTATGAAGAACTCTGTGTTATATCTGGGGCCCATTACCCAGACCCAGGTGAACCACAKCTTTCTTCCTTTGTATTTCCTCCCAAATCATGAACTTCATTTTCATGGTAAATACAGAAAGCAAGGATAGATGAACTAATCCACTTGAGATAAATTACGCCCTCCAGGCAGACAAATTTGATCAAAATATTTCCCTCTCAGACAAGTATTATTAGAAAAATATTATTTTTCTGCTAGTTCTTGTCAGGGACAGACTATGGTAGTGCAATTTACAGGAAGTCATCTTCCATATAGCATTATGCTTCTCCCTAGCGTGCAATGCAGCAAAACAGAAAGAACACAGAGCCTGCAACAGCTTTTCATCCTGGTTGGTCCAAACCCATGCAGATATTGCAGCCTGGTAGCTCTCAGCAGGGCTTACTGGTCTGCATGTGGTACCACAGTGGCATATTTGCTGTGTTTTCCACTCTGGAGCCAATCTAAACATTTCTGGTTCCAGTGCTGCTGCCCTGCAAACCAATGCACAGTATATGCCCCGTCTGCAAGCGCTTGTATCCTGGGGATACAAGAAACAACAATTTGATTTATTTTCTTGGAACTGTAGCAGGCTGACAACATATTATTATTTGTTCATGTGATGATTAACCTGTAGCTGGAGAAACCATCTGCTCCTATAGGAGCATTTAGTGACATTTAGTGACACCGCTGCCATCGTAACATAACCACAGGGAGTAAATCCTTAGCCACCTGCAGTCAAGAAAAACTATCGATAAACAAGGATAACAGAATCGACAATTACTTSCCTGACAAACTACCATCTGAAGAAATTATTCACGTATGCATTTTTACAAATGACATGAAAATGCATATAGCAACAAAAGCAGCCTGCCAGTTCTCAGATCTGAAAGAAATCACATAGCACAATTTGTGCCAGGTCTTGCAGGCAAGTGTGGCGTTTTATAGAGCACATAGCGCCAACTAAGCGGCCCTGGGACCRGTGCGTGACGTTGCACTGCAGATCCTGACTCCAAACCCTCCATGGGGAGATTCACCCATGGGATCTTCCCTGCCTGCATGCCAACCGTGCTCGTCACACGCAGGCCTCTCTTAACACTAAACCGAATTATCCAACACACACCAAAAATGAAAAAAGTGCTCAGGTTTTCACATTAATCTTGCTCCCTGCAACAATTTTCTGCCCTCTGAGCCCTTTCCTCTGCTTTAGCTGTTCTGCTCAGCCCACCGGAGCGGTGGTGCAGTCATCAGGCTGGCGAGAGCACCTGGGTGAGCAGGAATCCATCCTCCTCTTCACCCAACTCTTCACGCTGGGGAGGACCACGTGAAGAGCTGAAGGCTCTGCCAACATGAAGCCAGTCAAGCCCSGGCTCTTCCTTGCCCACAGGCGCCAGTTGTTCTGGTACAAAGGGCTGAGCCTGCCAAATCTTGGGCCCGGCAGCTGGGACTAATTGGGCCGGGCGTCCCGGACTCATCCTCAGGGAGCTGCGCGCTGCCCTGCCCTGCCCCGTCCCGTCCCCTCCTCGCGGGACGAGCGACCTACCCAAGCACCGCGGAGCTGCTGCGGGGTGCGAAGCGCCTCGGCGCCGCCACCCACCCGCCATGGCTCCGGAGCCCGGCGCCCCGGGAGGGCTCCCCGGAGCTGCTCGGGCCTCCCCGGGCAGGCGCCGCGGCTCCCGGCCGGCGCTTCGCGGCGCATCCTCGGCTGCGCGCAGCCCTGCGGCCACACGCTCCGCGCCGCCCGGCGGCTGACGGCAGCGGGGAGGGGACGGAGGCGGCGCGTAGAGCGGCTTGGGGCGAGCGCGAGTGCGAGGGCGGCGCGGAGCTGCTGCGCGGCCGCGGGAACGACGCGTCGGGCCGGGCCCGCGGCCGCAGGTAGCAGCGCGCGCGGCGCCATTTCGCGGCGCGGGGGCCTGTGCGGCTGAGGCCGGGGCGGCCCCGGCCCCGCGCAATGGCCGCTCTGAGGGGGTTGGCTTGTGGGGTGGCGGGGGCAGCGCGGGCTGCGGCCTCCTTCCGTGCCTGGCTCAGCCCAGCTCAGCTCGGCTCAGCTCGGCTCAGCTCAGCTCGGACAGGCCTGGCTGCGGAGGAGTGCGTGTCGCGCCATCTCCCTATGCCTCTCCCTGTGCCTCAGACCACCATCTTTAGCGGCAGAGCAAGCGCAGTGCGTGGCAGGGCATCTCTGCTCTGCCGACACCTTCCTTGTGGGCAGAAGGAGAAAAAATCTTGTGTTAGAGCTGCCTGCTGTGCATCTTGGCACGCAGGTGCCTTTCTGAGCTGATCACTAATGGGATCTCCTGGAAAGGTGTAACCTGGTAACCACTTTGGAAAGTTGGGATTAAGCTGAACTCTTCCACGAAAGACATACTAAGATCTTACCCATTTTATATAATCTCCATTTGTCTCAGATGCTTTGTCAAAAGTGTCATCTTCCATCCCTCCAGGACTGCCTGTGAACTGCAGCCCAGAAAGAAGAGGAAATCATTGAGATTTAAATTGAACATTTACCTCAAAGATTAAGAAAACAGCCATGCCCGTGCTTTCGGAAGACTCAGGTAACTTACCTGCATGCTTTAATCGTGTGCCTGAAACTTCAGTGCTTGYTTTTCACAGAGTATGTTAGTTCAGACTGTAATTGAATAAGATAAGAATTAAGATTGCTGAACTAGATTTCTCAATAGTTACTTAAAAGAACCAAGWATGATGGGTTCTAAAAGATAGAACTGAGTATATTGAGATTTCAGGGAACAGGTAGTTTTCTACCAGCCTTAGAGCCCATAAATGTTAACTGGTAGCCAGGATCATTTGGGTAAACTCACACTTCTTGGTATTGCCAATATCCACACATGTTTATTAAAGGTTGCTTCTTAAAGATCTCTGGTGCTTGCTGTGTACCTTGTTAACATTTTCTATGTAAGCATTGGTGTCATGCTTGTGTGCAGGCTGCCCCACACACAAATCTCTGTGTAAACTTAATAATAACCAAAATGGTACCTGAGTAAGCGTAGTTGACTAAGTCTGTATTAGAAATCCTTTAAAACATGTTATCTACAAATCTTTTGYTCTGCCCTGCCTTTAAATACAGGGTTACATGAAACCTTGGCTCTCTTGACCTCTCAGCTAAGACCTGACTCGAATCATAAAGAGGAAATGGGATTCCTTCGGGATGTCTTCAGTGAAAAGAGTCTCAGTTACCTAATGAAGGTAAAAATGCCTTTTATGAGTGTACATTTTCTCCACAAGTTAGTTATTTTCTGTGCTGTTGATAATTTTGTTTGCCAAAGCCAACTTATTTTTGTTTGGAGTTCTGTACTGGCAAAAGTATGTRCTTGTTGAAGCACAAACGTTAAAACATTTGATGAAAATTAAGATATTTTGTTATGAAATTTCTGCTTGGACATTGTTTTTTCTGACAGCTATACCTCTGGGAAGTTATACCACTTAAATATAAAAATATTCCCATGTTGATACATTTAGGAAGTTTTACATATCTCTGTAGTAATCTACCTGAATAATCTTTTTCAGATTCATGAAAAACTCCGTCATTATGAAAGACAGAGTCCAACTCCTGTTTTACACAGTGCAGCAGGATTAGTTGAAGACGTAAGAGTTGTGTCTCCTTTTCCTTCCCCCTTCCCTCCCAGTTGTTTTTAGAAGTTGACAAGTTTCACTCATCACTGAGGAGATGTGACCTCAGAAATACCGTGTCGTTATATGTCCAATGGAGACAGACACAGAGAGCAAAGAGCAAGTTGTACTTTGGGGCTTCGTGCATGTTTCCCAAAAAGGCACTTTTTTTTTTTTTCCCCCTTTGAAATTCTGAGACTATTCAGGTTTTGTAGGGGAACAAACTTCTTTTGCATGATCTACATAGATAAAGTGTTATGTCTATCCACATAGATAAACTGTGTTATTGCAATGAAAACACAAGAGTACAGTTTAAAATATAGATTAAAAACTTCAGGATTTTTCCTGAAATTGTGCTGACTGGAACACTCTTGAAAATGTATATTTAGGGGCTAAGATCCCTGTTTCTGATTTTTTTCCTGCACTATTAAAAATCTGAAGGAGGCCGATCAAGAAGTTTYAATCTTCTTTAGGACTCCTGCATACTTCATTGGAGTTGTATTTGATCTATACATGCTTCTTCAAATAGTGATAGAAATTAGTAAAGGTTCAACAGAAAATATACTTGTAAATATATGAACTTGTTCAGTGGATGTGTTTTCTTTTGAAGATGCTGCTTTTCTGTTTTCTAAGGTAATAGAAGAATTGCAGACAGCACCAGTRAATAACGAAGAAAAAGAGCTACTTCAGCTGCTGTCAACACCACATCTCAGGGTAAGACAAAACAAAATAAAAGGGACTTTAATGAAATTCCTTTGCATAACTGCAGCAAATATTGTGTTAAGGAAAACGTTCCATATTTTTTCGCTATGTCTGTTGGTGTCCTTTGAAAATGAAGTAGGTTATTATCTTGTTTATGTTAATAAAAGCAGGATAGCAAATAAAATTAGATACGAACCTTTTCAGTATTGTAGCCAGAAGACCAGAAAGAAATCTTTTGTTCCCGTTACAGAACTAATGTATGGATCTTCACAAAATCTGTTTAAAAAGTTTGCTGTCATGCTGAAATTTGAGAATTGGAAACTGTGATATTGCTCCATTACATTATTCTTTCATATTTCTTTATGCAGGCAATGCTTGTTGTGCATGATACTGTAGCACAGAAGAACTTTGATCCAGTCCTTCCACCTTTGCCCAGTAACTTTGATGATGATTTTGATGAAGAATCAGTGAAAATTGTTCGGCTAGTGAAAAATAAAGAACCTTTGGTACATACTATATAGTCCATCTCTAGTACTAAAATGCTCAGGTACAAAAGCACTGTTGTAAATGGGGGGGAGGTACTTGAAGATGTCATCAGATAGTCTCCAAAAATAAGTGTTACAAAGCTAGTTAAGTGAAGTAAAAAGATGACTTTGATAAATACACGGTCACCATTTTGCGTGAAGCAGTTGATAAACATGGATTGCAAAATGCCACTTTGAAGGGAGYGCTGAGATGCTATGTATATTAAATTAAGTATGCTTACTACAGGCATTAATTGAACGAGGGCATACATAAGTGTCAGTGCTACATAGTAAGAGTGTGTTTAGTAGCTCTATGCAAGCTATATTGACAAGCTACTCTTTTTATACAAATATGGAAATGGAAGAATTTCCATATTACAGAAGAATGAGTGGAAGAATGGATTATGAATCCATTCATAACCCATTATGAATAAAAGAATGGATTTCCTGGGGGGAATAAAAATGCTTTTGGGGAAGAAATCTACTATAGGGTGTTTGGGAACTCTACAATAYGGTAGATAGTAAAAGAGAAAGATGTCTAAATTCCTGGTTAAAGCATTATATTGCCAGTAGATCGAGGAGAAGATATCATATGAGCTGACTTTCCTTGCTTTTGTACATAAAAGTGCTGGCTTTATTGTGTAAGGTTTCAGAAGACACACAGAGAAAGGTTATTGCAGAAAATGCTGTTTTGCACACTCAAGTGACTATGATTACCAGCGTAGTGCAGGTAATACAAACATTCAACATAACTTAGCAGTGTCATGTGGGTAGTGTAAAAACTCAGGGTGTGTGCAGCTTCTTAAAATCACATGACATGCACAGCAAAAAACTGAATAATGGTGAAAATATTCAAGGCAGGAGACAAAAYATGTAGAAAAGATGAATTCCGAGGTAAAGGACGTACTAGCTTACGTGTTATTTCACTGCTAAGTGAGTGTGTTCTAAGCAACTTTGCGGGGGGTATTTTTTATTTCAGGGAGCTACCATCAGAAGAGATGAGCATACAGGGGCTGTGATTGTAGCAAGGATCATGAGAGGTGGTGCAGCTGATCGCAGTGGTAAATTTCTGAAGAAAAACGGATAAAAATAACATTTGTAAACTGTTATAAATTGCCAGAAACATGCATGTACACATACATGTTTTRCACAGAACAAAATCTTAACTAAATCTAATGATTATTCGTGAACGAAACTAGTCCTTTGGACACTGACGTTTAATGCGTGTGTAGACTGTTTTGTACTAAGCAAGCAGCTCATCTGACTCTTGATAGCCAACTGTTACCTGTCAAGTCTAAAATAGTATTTAATGTATCATTCCCAGACAGTTTCAGCATAGGATAAGTCACTTGCTAAAACTGCCTGTCCCCCTCCTTGATGACAGGAAGGGAAGTTTAGCTGACAGGCTCACTTGACAGCTGCGTTTCATTTGGCTAGGGACAGAAAAGACTTCTGTGTGTGCACTGTCATGCAGCATGCTTTCAGGTTGCAGATTTGTTCACACAGTATTTGACCCTACATTTTCCAGAAGCTGCTCTTACAGATTGTATTAAATAAATTTAGTCTCATTGAGCCTTAAATGTGATTTATAGAGTTCAAGCCTTTTTTTTATTTTTTTAAATACAGTAGTAATAAARTCACAAAACTGATGAACTGCTGTGATTAAAAGAAATAGCTAATTAGAGCTTTCCTTTTGACTGTTGTTAGCATTTTTTCTTATTAGCATAGTCTGATAAATGTAATGCAAAGCGGCTAAAGAGTGTGCTTAGCGTTTCCATGTTTCATTGGTAATGTATTATTTTGATAAGCTGCTTTGCTCTAAAATAGCTATTGGAAAAATGAAAGTATTCCAGTATTGCATTTTAGTGCTGATCCAAATTCAGAGGCACTGATATCTCAAAGGATTTTTGCATGTGTTTCTTTCTCCACACTCTTGGCTGATGTGACTGTGGCSCCCTGAAAAACAGGCCATATAAAATAAGGTCAGGAGACTTTAGAGCACGTTGCCAACAGAAGCATTTGGCTGCAGTAGGGAATCTGTTAGGTTAGGGTATGCATACTTCCAACATAGTTTGGACATTAGAGGAATAGCACCTTCCAGCCTGTGGACTTACTTTAATTATCATCTTTCCAGGTCTTGTCCATGTTGGAGATGAACTGAGAGAAGTCAATGGTATTGCTGTGCTTCACAAACGACCTGAAGAAATTAGTCAGATTTTGGTCTGCACCTATTTTATTTTAAGATCTCGTTTTTTTCACTCTGTGTGTCAGGYGGTGTAGTAATTACAACAGATGATGTAATTTGTCCATGAGTTTAAAATATGGTACTAAAAGATGCAATGTCTTTGCATTGAGAGCTCTTTTTCCTCCAGTGGATTATTTAGTCTTCTTCATTTGGCATCTGAGAACTCATTCATGTGAGTTCTGTGCAACTAATTCATTTCTAAGATACATATGCAAAAGTTACATGCAACTCTGTCAAGAACATTATTTATGTGGTTATTGTATGACAAGTACATTGTAAATGGAAAGTGTACTTCTATAACACAAATAGTTTATTCATGTAATATGTTCGGAGGCTGAAGGAAGCCTCATCTTGGTGTCCTCTAGAGCTGTCCATCTGTTCTTTACTGCCACATTTCCTGAGGCATTGTCTCTAGATTTAATACCCATAAATGTCAGCTGCATCTGAAGCTCCATGTCCAWGATCAGCCTGCTCTGTTCCATGAAGTGTCTTAGCTATTACACGCACTTGTCTCTTACTCCTCTGCTTGTCTGGGTGTGGAGCAGCATTTGGGATGCAGTAAGAAGGGCGACACTAAGAGATGGAAGTATCTGTCATCACTTCCATCATCTAATTTAAATTTAGATCAAAATTATTCTGATTACAAATACAGAATATACACTGAGAATAACTGCTTTTAATTCACAGAAAAAATCAAAAGCATCTTTTGAGATACTTGTATGAAATCAGTTATTTGTGGTGATTTTGGGATGGTATTTTGTCTAGTTTTAGATGTCTGCAYTGTAATAGCTTCCTTTTCCTGCTTTATTTATGAAAGAGAACTACAAATGTTCAAGCTGATTGTCCAGGTTTCCCTTCTAGTTTATTCTCTTCTAGGCTACTTTGTACTACTTTCAAAGTAAGAAACATTTTTATTTTTCAGGCTCAGTCTCAAGGATCAATAATATTAAAAATAATACCAGCTATCAAAGAAGAAGACCGTCTAAAGGATAGCAAGGTATGCAATTTCATGAAATACTCAGACACACTTTGTACACTTGCACAGTTCTGGCACCTCTGCAAATGCAAGATCCTTCCTAATTCAGTGAGGAGTTTCACAGAATCAAACTCAAAATTGAATTAAAGAAATAGACCATTTTTTGACATAAAAAACGTGTTGTTTCATGCAGTACAATTACTTAGATGTCTTCTGTCTTCTAAATGGTGACACATGTTCTTTCATAGCATTTCTAGTCATTTGTTTTGGTTTGTGTAATTAAAACTCTTGTTCCAGCCTGGTTTCAGTTGCCCACACAAGTATCAGTGCTCCTCTCTGAGGCCTTGGAATGTCCTCTGTGATCAGCACTGACTTCTTGTCCTGTTAGTCCCTTAGAAGATGCTTTTGCCAATCTCAGTTACTACTTGCCTGCTTATCACTTCATAATTTCTTCCTTACCTCCATGAAATTAATCAAACATGATTAATAGATTTTGTTGCATTAAAGGAACATTCTAAAGACAGAATTTAATCAGTCAACTTTGTCATACATGTCTTTTTAATGTTATCTTGTTTCTCTTTTTTTCCTTTACTTGTTGCACTTTGTACTTGCATAGAATGTGAATTTTGTTTCCCTGAGGCTTTGAGCTTCATGTTCTGCAATAGCAATGCATGATGTTTGAATAGGTGCACTTGAAAGTTGGTTTGTTTTTCGTCATGAGTGGGTAAGTCAAAACACAGAATAAGGCTGCAAGATTTCACTATTTTTGGATAACATCACATAAAGGAGAGACAAGAAGTGTGTAGTTTTTATAGTTAAAAACGTAATGATTAGAGATTAATAGTTTAAATGCCTTTTTAAGGGTAATTTGAAATTCCAGATAGGACAAGAAGGAAGCATGTGTTTCTTTTTGAAGGTTTTTATGAGGGCACTCTTCTGCTATAATCCCAACGAAGACAGAGCTATTCCCTGCCAAGAGGCTGGGCTGCCATTTAAGAAGCGACACATCCTGGAAGTTGTCAGCCAAGATGATCCCACGTGGTGGCAAGCAAAGCGTGTTGGAGATACCAACCTCCGGGCAGGCTTGATCCCCTCAAAGCAATTCCAAGAAAGGTTTGTCAGTGAAAATTACATTTTCACTATATGGTGTTAACGCTTATTTTACGCTACTTTTTGTCTGTTTATCCATAATCTTATAAAGAGGTGGAAGTAGTACTTTCAGCCCACAGAGAAGTGTCGTCAAATGAAAAAAAAGACAAATCCATTTTTGTATGGTAGCAAGTTCATAAGCAGTATAAAATGGCTCGATAACTCAAACGGGAAAATGTTGTTTGGAATTGTCAAGGAGATAACTTTATCACAAGATCTGAGTTATTTTATGAGATTAATGACCATCTGTTAAAAATAGGAMAGTGTAGAACTTGTTAGCTTAGGGACAGCATTAAGGTACAGAAAGAAAAATATCTGCTTCCTGACCAAACATAATCATGTTTTTCTACAGGAARCGTCTTAGTTAAGGCATTGATTCTGCTTAATGCTTGGTAAAAAGTGCTAGAGCAAGCATCTGTCGTGTTACTTGTACATACAGAATTTAAGAGATGCTTTTTGAATTCCTAATACTCTTCCTGCAATGAGCAGAGTCATGATTTTTCCAGGCCACATTCAGTTAGAATTGAAATGAGCAAGGCTGACTTTGGAAGTGGTTCAAATTGTGGGACACAAAATCTTAATTTTCATTTCACTCCAGAGCTGGAGCTGAGTTAAATTTACCTACTAATCACTTCTGTTCACTTTCTCCTGAGATGGKTGATGCATATTTTAAACTTCCCCCATGCTAGTTCCATCAGAGATTTATTACGCTACTTCAAGAAGCAGCACTGTTTTATTCTTCATTTTCAATACTATAAATTCTTTATATCTCTTGAGCTTATGTTGCTAAAATGTAATTATTTTCTGTTTAGACGACTGAGTTACAGAAGAACTGTAGGCACTCTGCAGAATCCCAAAACTGTGAAGAAGCCACTCTGTAAGTCTATTTTGTTTCTTTAGTGGTGCCTTAGATGATATCAACTTCTCAGTGATTTTCTGTGATTTTTTTAATAGTATTTTTTATTGTGGATGAATTGGATACATATTGGCACATGGGAGGATTTGGTTTTGAGTTCTATGCAGTGAGGCCAGCATCCAGTAGTTTAAAAACATGACTGTTCCTCTTCTGCTTTTGAGAACATGAGATCTTGCATTTTTTTAGGAGTTTTAAATTCTGTTAGTTGCTTTCAGAATGTTACAACTGATATTTTTCAGCAGTTTGAAACTTTATAGCTGCTAAATAAATTCAGTGCACCTGTCTTGGAACTCTTATGTAAGTATGATAATGGCTCTAAGCCTATGAAATTAAGCTGGAACTTTAACAAGCATAAAAATCATATGAGCTGGCAATACCATCTGCATTTCAGCTTATGGAAAGAATTTAGCTTTACTGTCCCATTTCTTGGTGTCACTGAGCTGTACTTAGGTAGACRTCAGAGCAATTCCTGTTCACAGTTCCAAAGCCTCTGGATTTTAGGAAAAGGTCATTGATCAGTTGTTCGCTGCTTAATTTTTGTTGAAGATATAAAAGTCTGATAAGCAAATCAGGAGTTCCTTCCTTTCCACTCACTGTAATTTTACTCATTCATTTACCAGTCTTTTAATCATATCAACTCTGTCTTTTATGCTAACTGCAGATGATCAGTCTTCTGACAAAGGTAGGTAGTCCCCCTGCATGTGGCTGTGTTAGGCTCTTGAAGTTTGTGTCACRTTACCATGTCCTTCCAAATACCAGGCACTTGCTGATGGACCAAGATACAGTTATGTTTTTCACATTAGATATGTAATTCTAGAAAATAAAATGCCAAGTATTGGTATTGCATCAACTTTGGTGAAAGACCAAATCATATTCTGTTATTAGCTCTCTGTGACTGGTATACACTGAGGAAGCAGGAGCTGGGAGACTGGAGCATATCTTCAAAAAGAGAAAACAGCTGTGAATAGGAGGAGTTATTACTACTGTTATCTTTTGTTACTGTAAGCATAATRTTTTATGCTTTTTGTTATTATTATTGTACACTGGCACAGATGGAAGACCAAATGTGTATTAAATTACAGCTTACATTTCCCCTTTTCAGGTCCAGATGACGATGTAATGTCAGAACCGGCAATATAATCCTTACATAATCCTATCTACTTGTAAAGTCATGCATCAAAAATAGAGCCCTGTGATTGAGAAATGATTTTATTTCGTTTAGTCTGAAAATTATACTTAAAACAGCAAGCAATGGATACTGAAGAGCATGAGTTCTGGAAATCATAAATACTGCTTTTTTTTTTTTTTTTTTTTTTAAAGTATAAACCACTAGCCAAGGCAAATATATTTTTGTGTTATTATTTCTTGCAGGCACTATGTTAAATGCCCATCTCTTTCTCTCCCTTTCTGTCTCCTTCTTTCTATCTCATGTTTATTATTTACAGAGGACTGTGACTGTGAAGGATATTTCAATGGACACTACATAGGTGAGAAACCGAAATCACTTCCTCTTCCATGTAAAATAAAAAAAAAAAAGGTGATTTTAAAAAAAACCAAAATATTTCTTTTCATTAGCATTAATTTAACATAAATTCATAAACTAGATTATCTCTGTGCAAGGGTGTAGTGGACATAGCCAGTGCTTGGCAGTTCAGGATGACTTGAACTTTTTTTGTAGATTGTTTTCTATCTAATATGCAAATGAAAATAATGGCCACATCTTTTCTTTTTTCTTTTTGTAAGCTAGATTAGTTCATTGGTTTGATTATAAAAAAGAGAATTCTGAGAATAATGAAAGCATAAGTTCTAGCTGAAGGGGCTTAAAAGCTTGGGTGAGATGTAATATATTGTCTTACGTTTTCCTCTACAGCTGGCTTGCGCAGGAGCTTTAGACTAAGTCGTAAAGAGAAGGAGAGCAATGAAAATGATGCAAAGCAAGCAGAGCAGGCAGATACAGCAGAATTACTCACTTACGAAGAAGTCACTAAATATCAACAGCAGCCTGGTGAACAGCAGAGACTGATTGTTCTGATTGGTAAGATACACAGTTTGTTTGAAATATTTAACATGTCTCTCCCTTTGCTTACTCCCATCCAAAAAGACTTACTTTGACTTTTTTTTTTTTTTTTTTTTTTTTAAAGATATTTCTTTGGTCAACATTTCCTCACTTCTTTCAATTGATAATACTAAAAAAAAATTCAAAAATTGTGATGCACATCCAATTGTATTTTTTAATTTCTATTGATGTTTGGTTTGTACTCAATTATGATTCATTTATACTGTAAGAACAGCTAATGAAAAGGTAGATGTTAGAATTGCTCTGTGTAGTTTCAACTCTGTGAGCTTGGCAGCTTTGTGTCCAGCCCATTTTGTATGATATTTTAGAAATCAAGGGTATCCCAGAAAACTAACTGCTAAAATTATGGGGTTTTCTGACATAGTGCCTGATATGTGTCTTGCCAAGAGCTGGGTTCAGTTTCCTCCTAATAATATTCAATTTAGAATGGGATAAACTGTAAAGTCCCTCTATATAGCTTCCTTCAAGCCTACTCCCATGTCATAAATTGTGTGAAGTTTAATTTATTTATTTTGTCTTAAGTCTTTCTTTCCTGAAAGAAACCTACCAGTCACTTCTGTTTTATTAGGTTGTTTGGGGGCCAGATTAAACGAGCTCAAGCAGAAGGTTGTGTCAGAGAACCCTCAGGAGTACGGTGTTGCAGTTCCACGTATGTAAAATATATTGACATTTGTGTGTCACCACTTTATTCTCCTCCCTGTTTCATAGTATAATGCCAGCTGCACTGGTGAATGGTTATTGGTTTTTGTTTCCACTGTTGATTATATTATTTTTTCATTGTCACATGCTGCATTATGCTAATTGTTGATTAGCAACAATACAACAATATTACCTGCTATGTTTTTACCCACCAGTCACATGAGTGCAGGAATTAATAGTTCTGTTGTGTGGGTTTGTAGTCATCGTGTCATAATTTAGTGTCTTAAAATATTACTAAAGGCATAAAAACCCATTGACATTTGCATCCCCTTTTGCAGGGGAGGGATCCCCTGCATCCCTCCCCAAAAGCAAGCCACTTTTGCAGTCAAAAAGTAACGTTGAGGACTGTTATGTAGATATTTAGTCTGTTGGCAGTGAAGGTCATAAAAATAATTTTCAATTGAATTTCAATATACAAAAAAGAGCAGATGTTTGTACTGACAAGCATAGATTTTTGTAACAATCACCAAAGTCTCACTTACAGTGATGACAAATACTAAAATGTCAACATCAAAAGTAAGTAGTTTTAKAATTATATAAGTTTCTCAGGAATGYAGGAATGTAATTGAGGGTAAAAGAACCACTCTGAGCCTCTTGCCAAAAAATCAAGCCCTTCTCCTACGTTAGGAGGGAAGGAATGAAGCTGCAATGGGAAGAATGCAGTTTTGTGTGCTTCTCTCCCCCCTACCCAATTGCCTTTCTCCATTCCAGATAATAACAGAAATATTAAGAGCTTGTTTCCAGAAGAGCAGTTATTTATTGTAGAGCTTATTCAGTCACTTCTACCAGTTTGAGAAGCTGATGTCCCAATTTTTGTGTTATTGTATCCTTGAAGACTGAGTTAAAAAAAAAAAAAAAAGAGACAACATTTCATTCATATTTTATGTTGGTTTGAATTTACCCTTGTGTGATTACCTTGACTGTGGACATGAAAATGGAATTGGATCTGAATATGGAAAATASAGTTTGCAAAGGCTGATTTGTCTCCCATGTCTTGCTTCTAATCTCTTMTAGATACAACCAGATCAAAGAAAAGTCATGAAAAAGAGGGAGTAGAATACAATTTTGTGTCTAAGCAATCGTTTGAGACAGATGTACAGCAAAACAAGTGAGTTTTATTTTGAAATACTCCATAATTGACTGTAAAATATATAAAATTTAGCAATACGAGTACCAAAATCAAATGCAAAATTGGACATGCCGTATAAAAAGGATTCAGTTTTCCAGAAGTTTAATAAGAAACAATTCAGAAACATAGGACTGATAGGAGGGGAAGATAGAATTCATCCTCACATGTCATAACTAGTATGATTTGTCACAATTGGATCTGGCAAAGTAAGAGAGGCTTTTTTGGGCYTGCTTATTCCCAGTCTAATATAATGGGAAACAAGTTTTATTGCTAAATTCAATTCAAAGTGTTTTGTTGAATGAATCAAAGGATATAAAAGGGCTTTATGTAAAATCCAGTGTGTTTTTTCCTAAAAAAATGGATTTCCTCAATTAAATCTAGTGTCCTAGAATTCAGAAGAATCAAAGTCTTATTTCCTTGCTAGTTTTGTTCTACTCTCTGTCAAAAACATTCCCTTTATTAAGTTTGTATATCAGTCAACTGAGTTAATGCAGCTGCTTCTTTTTTTGTGGAATTAATAATGTATTAACTTTGTGGAGTTAATAATGTATTAACTTTTAGATTTGTGGAACATGGAGAATACAAAGAAAATCTGTACGGCACAAGTCTTGAGGCAATTCGGTCCGTGATGGCCAAAAAGAAGRTTTGTTTGGTGGATGTGGTACCTGAAGTAAGTTCTAATGCTTATAAATTACTTTAAGGAAAGCAAATATTTCTTATGGGGCTCAAAGCCTAGGAAACTAGTATTGTTTAGCATTTGTGGATATTTGCTCTGCTGAAAAGACAAATCCTCAGGATAAATGTGCATAACCTTCCTGGTCTGCTGAAGGCACAGCAGCTATGTTTACAGCACGAATGGGATTTCCACGCTTTTTCCTTCCTGGTGCTTCATAGCATTATTAGAATTAGAACTGGTGCCAATATGCCTGCTCTCACCTCCTCCATGCTAGGATTAACCTTGAAATTGTGACTCAGAAATGGTGAATGGGATCAGTGAAGATTTTTAATGCTATTTAAAATGAATGTCAGGTTTGCAGTTTCCTGTGTTTGATCTTTTGTGGGGAGCAAACTGCAGGCTGCCTAACAGACCACATTTCTATCATTTTCTCCATTTCTTTGTTATGTCCCTAATGCTGGAATTACAAAGCAAAGCAAGGTGTGTTGGCAGTTGGACTATGCTCCAGGAAGCTCACATAGCCTTGTAGCCAAGAAACTGGTGTTACGCTTTCTGCTGAAGAGCAAAATGTTACCATGCTCACGTGTGTGGTATGCTGCACATCAATTCCTGCCAATGTGTGCACAAGTGAAACTGTGGAACCCAGCTCTTGCAGATCACTGACATTCCTTGTAGTGATTTACAAAAAAATGACAAAAAAATCTCTTCACAGGCATTGAAGCACCTGAGGACCCCTGAGTTTAAGCCTTATGTTATCTTTGTGAAGCCTCTCATTCCCGAGAAGAAAAAGCCTGCTCTGAAATCTCCTGTGTCAGAAGAACTCTCACCCTGCCTTGTAAGTATCAGAACCCTAACCTCTACTTCTCAGATACTAGAGAAATACTTGGGATAGGATTGCTATCATACGAAAGAGTTACTCTTACTTGACACTGAAGGAGTCAGGGTGAATCTTCATCCTCTCATCTGGAACTTCAGAAAGGAATTTTTGACCTTCCTCAAACTTAGGTGAGCACACATCTTCCCTGTAGAGYTGTGTGCATCACTCAGGGGCACAGCAGAGGAAGCTGCTCCTGAGCTCAGATAAACTAACAGTCATTTAATTTTGTTGATAAATGCCCTCCCATCAAACAGCCAAGGCAGCCACGTGTTGCTTATACCTGCATAGTGACATCCAACATTGTTTTTTTTATGTTTTCTCATCCTCTCAGCAGAGTGAAGAACAGCAGGAAATTATAAATTCAGCAGCATTCATTGAAGAGCAGTATGGCCATTTAATTGACACTGTACTGGTGAAAGAAGATCTCCAGAGTGCATGCAATCAGCTGAAAACTGTGATAGAGAAACTAAACAAGGATTCGTTTTGGGTGCCAGTCAGCTGGGTTAGGTCATAGCTGGTTTATTATCTGCCTTAAGGAAGGATTGTGTAACTGTGTATTGTAAACGTGAATTATGAMAGGGAAACATGTCGAGTCCACTTCTAAGCTGCCATTCTAACTAGAAAAGAGTCTATAAAAAACATTAAAAGAACTAAGCAAAGCAAGTCAGAAGCAAGCACTGCCTTCCCGAATCAGAATTTTTAGTGGGAGCTACTGTTGAGAACTGAAAACACTCAAGGCTAAATAGATTAGTAAAAGATTGGAGCAGGGTAAATGCTACATTCTGTAAGGTAAAATTTCACAGAAGGTCTCACACTTTCAAAGCATTTAAGTAGTGTTTGACATTAATAAGCTGAAATTCTCAGCCTTTAGCCRAAAATTGCATGGCTAGAATTAACGCATCCCAAACTTAGGTACTTTTCAGGCACGAATCTGTCTACAGAGGCTACTTAAACTAGGTGGGAGTGATACCATTTGGAGAGTGCTTAAGACACCACTTAAGCTGCTTAGAAATTCARGTGGCTGACAGACATGTCAGGAAGACATGATTCCCTTCAATCATTAGTTGTAAATCCTTTCCCATTAGTAGATGAGCTCTGTAAGTTATATATATTTTAGCAGCTGAAAGTGTGGTTTGTTTTAATGCCCGTCCCTTTTACCATTACATTAAATGCCCATTTCCTGGGGCTTCTGGCTGTCTTGTACAGATAGTCTGCTCAGCTTATATCCACTTTCSCAGTCTCTTCCTGCTGACACAGGCCAAACTGGAGACATTCTTTTATCTACGTGAAAATTATATGATTTGAGCTAGGCCTTCAAGAAGCTTTTTACCTGCAAGGCTCATTTAGAAAATATACCTGATGGACACCAATATATCASCTCTGAAGAAGGCACTAAAATGAGGAGGCTGACAGCAGCAGCACCAAGTCTTCATCCTTCCTGCAGTTACAAGTGTGGTGAACGGTTCCAGAGTGTGTAGTGGTTCACATCGAGTCCTGAAGAGGAGATCTTAACAGTAAGAGGAGTTTGCAGCTCTTTCAGGAAACTTGAATATACAGGATTTTTAGGTGGKTATAAGAAAGTGAAGAGATAGGGTTGTGAAAACACCCATGTTTTCAAATTCATTATTTGATAATTTATGAGTATTGTACAGGTGTACGTTAGATAAAACTAGTTGCTGTTTTCCTTTGCCTACAGAGCTGTAATCTTTTATATGTACTGTGTCCTTGAATAATATCCTCTAATGCACCAAACTCATTCTTTACATCTTAATAGTATAATTCTTGTTCTAGCACATTGACGAAAACTAAAAACACTGCATATTAAAAAGCATATTTCTCTATATGCCAATGTTGGTGACTCTACATAAAATCTTAGCCCCCAGAGCCATGTAGGACAGTCATATTTGTTCCACCAAACAGCTTTACCCTGACTAGTGGTGTCAAGGTTCCAATTAACGCAAGAAGAGCACTTGACATAAGCAAATAGAGCTGCTCTGTCTTTTCAGAGCAGCCACACTGCAGGACTGTTGGACTCTCAGCAAGTGTGTGAGGACTTCTTCAAATTCTGGTTGTCCATGAGCTCTGCTGTCACATATATCCTGTCCTGGCCCAGCAGAGCCATCAAAGGTAATGTTGTTTATGAGAGAGACTCGCTGGCCGAATTAATTTTGTGGCAGATGTGATCTTTATCCTATGAAAAATTGGGAATAATACTTTATTTCAAATTGGCAACATTTCAAGTGAAACAGCCATAGGAAAATATCAAATAGGCAGAAATGTCTTTGTATAAATTGATAGATGGAATATTAATTAAGGGTCAGAATTTACTCAAAGCAAGATTCCTATTTAACCACTTAAAAAATTCCAAAGGTTTATCCATAGATAGCTTGTGTGCTTTATGAGCTAACATAGTTTCATAATTCCCCTGTTAAAGAGAAGCAAGGCAAATGGGGTATACAGGTATAACTGAAGTTAAAGTTAAATGAAGACTTAAGATGTTAGCATGTAACATGGCTGTTAAAACTGACCTTAGAATAATTTGAGTTAAATAATCTTCAAAAATGCTGTGCAATTAGGTAGTAAATTCTCTATGGATGCAAGTTTACCTCAGTATTAAGTTGCGGCACTGTCAAAAATGTTGTCTTGTTTCCAGATTTTTTCGGAAAGTTGGAGGTTCTGTCTGGAGGTTGGAGCAGGTTTTTTTTCTGGGCTCAAAGAATGGTGAGAGGATAGGTATGTGTGTGCTGAAGTTTGAGGGTAGCTAAGATGGACATTCACAACCCACATTCAATGCTGCTGTTTATTCTAAAACCCTAGCAAAAGAGAAYGCAGCAGATAACTAATGTTACCAGAAGAGGAGCCTGATTCTGACCAGATTTTGAGTCCCTGTTGCGTTAGCTGTGCCTGCTTTATTCTCCTGCAATTAGAGGGGGAAAAAAAAAACGATGAGAAGAGATCATAAAGAGAAAGCAAATGTACTCTTCTTTCAAAGCCCTGCTTTGTAGTAGCCCCAAGAGCAGTAAGTCATATTGCCCATATCTGAAATTGCTTTCTTCTTGAAACGCAAAGTGTGTGCAGTACAGCCAAGGAACACATCAGTCCATGAGATCAAATATCCATTCAGGTAATTTTGAAGAATCATTTTCTTCAGCCAATTTTGTAATAGAATTGCAGAACTTGCCACCTGCTGAGGTAGAACAGCATACCTAGTTCTCTTGGGAGGCGATAAGGTATCGGGTTGAGTTCCGTATGACGTGCCTGGTTTTCTGCTATTAAAAAAAAAAGGAATTTGTCATTGAGGCTGATCAGACATTACAGGAAAACTGTTATGACTGTAACTTTTATAAGTGCACTGCCAAATTGTAATCTTTTTTTGCCTCTTGCATTTTCCCTCCTAAAGACTATTTACTCAGTTCAGCTGTCAGTAGTTACGCAGTGCCTAGTTAGCTGTAGACTTTAGGAATTTCAGTTTCTGAGACTTTTGAGTTGCAGTCTCTTCATCCTAATTGTGAGAGGTTTCTGTAAAGTGAAAACAAGGTTCTCCTTTTGATGATCTCTTTATAAAAAGAAAAAAACCTTGCATTTATTCTGCTGTAACTGAAATTAATAATATTGCTTATGCATGTGACTAGGCAACAAGAAAATTACGGTTTGAACATAATGGCAATATTTATTGAGAATATATCAGAATAAAATTCAACTTCAGCAAGGCAGCCATTATCTCTGAGACTACCCAGCCTTTTTATATACAAGCAGCCCTTCAATCCAGATTTCTAATTTTATTTTTTAAAATGTTCTCTTTTCTAATTACCTCATTTTTTTCTGATTATTTTCTGATTAAGGTACTTTTTTTAGTTCACTAATACAGATAATAAGTAGCTGCCACTTTAAAAACATCCCCATAGTTTTAAACTTCTCAGATACATTTTTCTATAGTTTGAAAAAACAAAGGAATGATATACTAAACAAAAATGAATGTACGTGCCTGCCAGCCAGTCTCAGACTTCCTATGATCATAAGTAGCCTTACGGTCAACAAGCCTCTTCAGAATGCCTTGGTTTTCAATAGTGATCTTCACTATTTCCCTGTTTTGCTTGTCTCTATTTGAGCTAAAAACAAAAATGAAAGAAAAAAAAATTAAAAAGTCAATTTTCAGCACTTTCTTGTTAATGTAGTGATGTAAGGCATACGCACAGGTGCAGTAACCTCAATTCCCCCTCTCCCTCAGCRACACTCCCATACCCAAAACGGTGCCTTTCAGTCTCTTGCAGTTTGCCTTTGGCCAACATTTCCCTAAGAGCAGGGTAGTGACCGAGTCTGTACCGTGGCTCATTGTCATCSCTTGTCCCTGTGCATTTCTCTTAATTCAGAGGTAAAGCTATATAATCTCAGCTACTGTATCACACCACTGAGAGTTGCAGGTGTCTCCAGAGAGGTAAGGCAATCTCCCATACAGTGATCCAAAGGAACGTGATGTGGCAAGAAGGCAGCAAGAGAACAGCTGTTGAGGGGATCTGAACTGGCAAGGCAATAATAGGACTTTGCTAGCTGGCAAAAGAATATGTACCACGTGCAGATTCTTTCGGTGCAAATATATGTGCAAGTATACAAATAGAAAATAGCCTCACTGACTTGCCCTGCATGGCTGCTGTAAAAATAAATTGGGGGGGGTGAGGAGGACTGTTTGGACTTGCAGTCTATACATTCAGATAGTTTGGGGGGAAAAAGAAAAAAGGAAATCTGAAACTGGCAGAAAAAAAGAGGAGGAAAGCTAGTGAAATCCTTACCAGGGGAAGGGAGGATCTGCAGGAGCCTGGGGCAAACGGCTGCAGAGAGCCTGAGTATGAATGAAAAATAGCAGGAGAGTAAACTGCCATTTAAAAAGAATTTAACTCCTGAGCAGCTGAGATAGAAGGCTACAGTCACCTGGTTTGTGCCACTTTAGCTTCCCTGGTATAAATAACCTCTTTGCAGGAATAGCTCACTTCCAGGAGCTCTTCTGCAAGTGGATTTTTTCCCAGGGTGGTGCAGCCTTGAAGAACAAGAGTTAAAGGCTGACCCCGATAGTTGGGCTTGTTGTAACCTGTGAGTCTCTTGTCTAAAATTGCCCGGCCCCCTTCCTACAGAGACCTACACAAGGCCTGCAGCACTGCGTGTTTCTGGAACAGATGGGAATAGCAGCTACCTCTTCCAAAAGCGCTCGTTCCAGCAGTCTACTTTCCCTGTCCCTCGGTGTATCTCGGCTAGCCTCTCCAAGAGCTTCTTATTATCTCTCTCAATTTCCCCAATTCGCTTTTGATCCTCCTGTGCCACAGATACCAAGTTTGTAATGTGCTTTATATTTTTCCACATGAAGATCTTTACTGGGTGAGCTTTTACAGTTGTTATGCTGCCCCTATTCATTTCTACATATATTCTATATGTACATACACATATATATAAATTTTTAAAGTCCTCTTCTGCTCTCAGCCATATCCAAAATCACTGTTATTGTTTTATCGCTGCCTCCTTGTCCTCCCGCTTCCCCCTGTCCACTATTTATCTATGGATATAAACAAACTAGCAAGACCCAGAAGCAAGAACTTTTTTTTCCCCTGGCCTTTCTTGTTCCTTTTGTGACTGTTAAAGGATKAAGCAAGCCCCCTGTTCTACATTTACCTGGAAATGATGCCAGAAGTAACAGGMAAGCTGTTACCAACAAGGGTGGGAAGGAGACAGAGTTAAACATTATCAAGTACCTGAATCTTGCTCAGGTTAAAATGSTGGGTCTGTGCACGTGAGGGCTTATTATCCACACGAGATTTTGCTTTAAGAGAAGAAGAAAAGGCTTTATGTAAAGGAAAAAGAAAAGTCTTAAGAAGCAGCTGAGCCCCATGTCCCTTCACCCAACTTTTCCTTTGTCAGCATCCTCCACATACCATGAAACGTCTTGTGCTGATGAAAAGCGCTGCAGGTCTGCATTGCTTCCTGGACGCAGCGGGAACAGAGCGCTTCCGTAATGCGAGTATTCATTGCAGCACTACACAGCAGGACCCTACTTTTCAGTAACATTTTATTTATATGACAAACAAGCCATACTACACACATAAATGGCAACGTGGTTAAACCATTTTCTGTCTACAAAAGCACAAGCCTGAAGCAAAATCTTCCATTCATCTCCTGTATTAGTTTTAGCTCATTGAAAACAGAACTCTAATATAAACTAAGCAAGATGGGTTTTTATTGCCCTGCAACAACCCCCCCACTACAAGCAGAGTGGATATCCACTGAGTGTGCAACACAATAGAAAGGAAAATAATGTTCCTTTTAAGGAGGCAGCCAGCAGTTTAATACTCAAAAAATAAGCCCCTCTTAAAAATGAGGCCATCCTGCCCTTCTAAGGCAGGCAGATGCCTGCTGCATTACCAGTTTTGCCCACATTCAGAAAGCAACAGAACACGCAGTCTTCTCTTCAGTGTCCTCCTTGTGCCCAGCGAACACTCAGAAAGAGGTGACTGCCTTGGTGACAGGATCAATGCAGAGGAGTCACACAGGGCACAAGAACAAAGCACAAGCAGCAGAGTATGCACCGTGTCGTGGTGAGGAGACATCGGTCATCTCCACTTTCTTGTGCTCATTTTCTTGCAGGGCTGCTTACCTGTTTTTATGACTTTCGTACAGTTGCCATGGCTTACCAACAACTTCCAAATTGGACTTCTTCTTTTATTTATGCCCAAGCTCTCCATTTTTCACATTTATATCCGGAGACTCTAGACAACCTTGCATTATGACATGCTCACGTATTGCAAATGAATGCTCAGTCCCTTAAAACTCCATCCCCTTTGTGAGCTGGACASAGCGCCTATCCAGCTGTGGAAAGTCACGCCAGCAGAACTTGCTTTCTTGTTTTTTCTCTCATAAGCTGATGCAAATAAACATTACACCCAAGGGATACTTTATGTGTTAGAACCATGCTGGAGGTGTAAGGAGCAGTCTTTCTTCAGCCTAAAACTCGGTGTCTTTCCACAACAGCTGCTAAGAGCATTAAAAGCCCCTATAAAATCCAACCTCATCTTCCTCAGACCAAGATTTCAGCAGAGGAAGATGCACAGGGGTAATACTGCAGCCACACACCCACTTACGTCCATAGCAAGACAAACAGAAACGAATGCATAAACCCTACACATAACGTGTTTCTATTCAGCTCCTCTAGTGGTGGTGACACGCAACAGACAGATTTTTCTTAGATTAAAAAAGCTCCAAAAAGAACAAATTTGTGGAGACCAAGCTAAAATACCTTCAAAATGAGGTAGAAGTTTATACTCCGTGTTTAAGGCCTTCTGTGTTGTGGTAGCACCCATGACAAGCCATTATTAGTGTTATTGAGGATGGCACTCCTAATATTAGTTTAAACAATCTTTACAGCTATGAATCATTAAATTATATATGATTTACGTCCCCTAAAAAAGACAAGTCAGCAAAAAAGGTGCCAGGCRATATGCTGTCATGAAGGAGCCTCTTTGGATGTGTTCCTGCTTTACAAGTTGCTTCAGTTYATGTTTTTAAAGCTGTCTCCAAACGTCAGATGCTTTTTTTTTGCTAAGGAATTCGGGTTTGGCCAGCCACACAAACTGCACAGATCCAAAYTGTCAAGTGCCTTGACTCTACTAATGTATTTTAGAAGTCCCCTCCGTTCAGCTGGGCTGGAGCCCTGCAGGTTAGGCTAGCGGGCAGTATGCGCCACATAAGCCTTTCCCGGGCTGCGCTGAAGCCGCCGCCAGCCGAACTCCCCGCTTCTCTGCGCTTTTATCCCAAAGCCCCGGTGTCTGCAGAATCTTTAGGACCAGCTCCTCAAAGGCATGGAGGACGCCGTCCTGCGTCTTGGCACTCGTTTCTACAGAGACGAGAGGGAAAAAGCTCAAGTGCATGCTCTGTTTTATTTGCATAGAGTATTGCTCTTTGTGAAAAGCTACTTGGGGCAACAACGAGAAGACAAATGCAATGTATAACCAATAACCTCTTTTCTCCTTTAGGGACATACCTAAATTAATTGCAATAAACAGAAATACATTCCATCAGGCTGAAGCCTATCCCCTTTCTATCTAGAAAAATCCCACCGTCCCCCCTTTCTCTTCACAATAGTAAACAGAAATTTTTCTCAGTTATGATGATAAATCTACAAGATGAACTCCAGAAATAAGTCATAAACCGAAGAATGCAGAATATACACGTTCACTTGAGTTCTTTCTCCAAATCTTACCAAGAGGCTTCATCTATACAGGTGTCTTATTTTTAATACACATTTTTTTCTATCTTTGCTGGCTTTTTATTCAAATTCTACATTTTATTGTTGGTCTAACCATAGATTTTTATGTAGCTATGCCAGAAACCCAGCAGTGAAAAAGATTACCTAGGACCTTTACTGATACCAGGCGGGAGGAAGATTCCACTCTTTAGGGCTCTGAATTAAAAACAAACAAACAAACCCAAAAGCCTGACAACTGCAAGATAACATAAAAAGCCATGCCTGCACAGTGCATTTCATCTTCAGGGAAAAAAATAAAATTAAGATCCATGGACATGAACTCATGCAGCAAAAGGCATCCATTAACTATAAAAACCAACCTGGAATGCAAAACGCTTCATTCATGCTCAGCCACACCAAAATCAATAATATAAACATACCTTTTTGGTAAAGAGTAACGYACCTATAAAAAGCAGTGAGCGTTTCTTAGCAAACTGAAGTCCTTCTCTTCTCTCTACTTCACGATCAGGCTGCAAGGAAGAACATGACCAAAGTAAACTATATTTGCCAGTTGTAGAACTCCCTGGAAAAGCAGTCCTGGAAACCTGGAGTTTCCAGCATCCTGGAAAGCTGGGGATGAGGGCTGCTGCCTTCCTACCCAGCTGGRAGGGAATGAGGTGTATGCCAAGGAGGAGGCTGTCACAGTCAAGTGGCTGAAGGTGTACATCAAATATGCCTGTTAAAAATGCACGACCCGCTCAAAACCACTGAAGTCGTGCACTGCACTTAGCTCCTCTGGCATTTCTCTTTATCAGATAAGCGGAACATTTCACTGCCTTCTTTTAAGACAGTTTCTCATTATTTGCATCTTTCCAGAATTATTTTCCATGAAATTCTTAGTAAGATCTGCTTCGAAAATGAGGTAGTAAATGAAAAAAAAAAAAAAAAAAAAAACAGAGCCTGCTTCATCCTTGGCTCCTTAGCTCCTTAGTTAGAGGACATATCGCCTCCTTGCATAAGAGATACGTAACTTTCGGAGCTTATCTCACATTTGGCACGACTGAGTATTCGGTGGCAGCTTGTAAGGCAATGCATTTCCAAACTGACCTTATCAGTTTTATTGCCAACTAACATCTTCACAATGTTGCTTCGGGTAGTGTACATTTCCAGCTCATTCAACCAGCTTTCCAGTCCCGTGAAAGTGTCTTTCCTTGTAACATCGTACACTGGTGACAGAGGAAAAGGAGCTTAAGAGCTGTGAAGTCTTGATGAATGGTTGCTTCATTATGGCAGAATTTAGCAGGTCGTACTATTTTAACTGTTGCCTCTAATGAAAAGCACTATTAGGGAACCAGAGATATATACCATCAAGCATATAGTCTTCCCAGAGTTGGACTATATAAGCTGCACTTATCTGAAGACACTAGGGATTACAGAACACGAGCATCTGTGTGATATACATTTGTGATGGGAAACAGCTTAACAGCAGAGATTTTACAGATGCTGCTAGATCTGAAGAGGAYCACAAAAATATTTTGAAATATTTATTCTGTCATCTCATTGAAAGAATAACTACATGTATGCATTACTGTTAAAAAAGAGGGATTCTTAATATCAATAAATGTGACTTTGGTCACTAGTAACTTCAGAACCACCCTCATGTAATCATTAAGGTTAAATAAAGCTGCAGGCTGCACCATGGTCAGAAAGAGCACTTGTACAGCACATTATTTAGTCCTTACTCTCTCCCAAGAATCCTTTTTCCTTTTTTTTTTTTTTTTTTTGGCTAGTTTCTGATGAAAAAAAGTAAAAATACACAGGGAAAAAAATGGTTTGGCTTATGACCAGAACCTTGCCAGAATAATGAGAATAAAGGTGATAATTCATCATAATGGTTTTCAATGTGATATCAAAATATTTTAAACTCAAAATATATAGTAGACGCACTATGTCCTGCCAATAAATTCTGCACACTTCATGTTTGAGCTAGACATGTGGAAGTGTTGTAAAAAATTCAGTAGTCAAACTTCTGGTTTTATCAGTCTCCTTTGAGAAGAGCTTTCGATTTGCTTAGTAACAAAGACTTCCCATTTTTCATAACCACATTTCTCTTCCATGTACCTCCTACCTAGAACCACCCCTTGAGCTCCTCGGTAATAACTGGGGGTCAGCGTTCTAAAGCGCTCTTGTCCTGCTGTGTCCTATGGGGAAATAAAAAAAAAAAGGCATTTGGAAAAACAACAACAAAAAAGGCAATTTAAATTATGTAATATAAGCTGAACAAAGTTAACGTTTTTCTGATCAGTAAGGACACCTAAAAGCATAAGACTGTAACAAAGTGCGGGAAGCAGCCGGAAAATATCAGCAGGAGAGTAACAGGGAATAGAAAAAAAAAAAAAGGCAGGGAAACATGGAGAGGACTTCATTAAAATATGAAGTGATAACCACAGGTTCTTCTGTACAAAGAATAAGATCTGTACAAGGAATAAGGCAGCAAAACCAACAGGATCCAAGAAAAATACACCAGAGATTGGTGCTGCAAGCCAAGCGGCTGTGTTTAGTCAACTGAGAGTCGGGTGCACTGAAAGGGTGAGAAATACAGCGGTGCTAAAATTTACCACTGCGCTTCCAAGGCAGGAAAGGAGAGTCTAGTTAGCAAGCACTACTTCAAGGCTGCTGAGATGCCTAGTAGATAAAAGAAATTAAGGTGTTTATGAGAGTTTAAACGACATACTGCTGTAATAGTTGGGAAAAAAAAAAACCTTCCAAATAGGTCCAAGAATGCAAGGTGAAATGCAGAATTCYCCAAAGGAACAAGACGGAGGCAAAGGAATTGCACAAAGATTTCTTTTTTAATAAAAAAAGAAAACCTTTATTTAAATATACACGCAGATTACATATAGACTAACAGTTCTGTTATTATTTCTCTATCTTTGTTTTAAAAAATAGTATTGGAAACCCAGGTACTCAATTCATACCGTTCTTACCCTGCAGACCTARCTCTGAGGTTCCCCCCCACACTGGAAGCCTCTCTTTCACCTTGGCACCCTGTGCACACACTTCAGTTTTTATTTCACCCAGTGCAACTGCCCTGTCTCCTGAAGCTGCTCCAGACTCCAGCAAAAGTGCCTTTTCCAGCTATTCAACTCGTGCAAGTTCTGGCCTTGCTTTGATTTCACAGCAAGGAGACACACCCCTGGGTGATTATTAAGCCAAATATTTATTTGTCACTCGCAGRAGAGCTTCTGCTTTTGGTGCAGCTTGCTCCGAATGCGTGCAACAAGCGTGCCAACTAGAGCAACTGCGACCATTATCGCCCTTGCTCCGAATTCTGTCCTGAAATTGCGGATTTCGGTCCCCGAACCACAGCGAAGAAACATTTAGGATTTGTTTTGAAGAGCTTCGCCTACCACTCCTGCTGTAAAATCACGAAAGGCACCGCATCCTACACGCAGTTGAGCCAGAAATGCACAACCCCGACGTCGTTCGAACAAGGGGAGAAATAAATCCCGCGCTCTTGAGATCCCCTTATCAGCCCAAAACGAAACGTACCCATATTGCAAGCTGCACCGCGCGGCCGTCCACCACCATCTTCTTCACTTTAAAATCAACACCTGGAGCACCGAGGGCAGGGGTGTCACGAGGCGCAGAGCCCGAGCCCGCTGCTGCAAGGCGGGCCCCGCCGCTCCCCCGGGCCGCCGGCACTCACCGATTGTGGGGTTCAGGCACGGCTCGAAGGCGCCCTCGGTGAAGCGCAGCAGGAGGCTGGGGCAGAGGAGAGCGGCCGTGAGCGCGGCACGGAGCCCGGC